ATTCTGTGTTTTTCTGTCAATATGGGGTGCTGTGTGTACATTAATGAGGAAAAAAATGAACTTAAATGATTTTAGCATATGGCTGCAATATAACAGAGTGAAAAATTTAAGGGGGTCTGAATACTTTCTGTACCCACTGTATATATATGTAAATATACACACACACACACACACACACACCAGCATTGCTGATATACTGTACAGTCATATGATGCAATATATACTACAACATAACAACAACATGGACCTGATGTCACAATCCCTTATGCTATGAAGGAAGGACAGCTTTGTAGACATCACTCTATACAGCACACACGCACAAAAAAGAAACATTGAAGACACTCACCCCTCGTTCCTTCCAATCAGGAAAGAGCTCAAAGACTGCAGTGGGCTCCAGACAGGCTCCTGATAGTGTGTGCGCCCCAATCTGAGAGGCCTTCTCCACAAGGCACACTCGCAGCTCTTTCTCATGTTTATTGGCTAGCTGCTTCAGACGTATGGCTGCTGAAAGACCAGCAGGACCCCCACCTACTATCACCACATCTGCCTCATCGACAAACCGGTCCATTTCAACTCCTGGGAAAGAAATGAAGTATAAGAAAAAAAAAAATCTAAGTCGATAACTAGAAGACCCATAAAAGAGAGGCAATGCATTTAGATTCAATTTGTGATATCTGAGGACAACTACAGCCCTGTGTGGTACACCTGGCAAAGCCTTCAGTGAAAAGTGGCACAGTCAGCCAGAGCATAGCCACCCAAACAAATAAATAGGCTGTCAAGATTTTATCCTCTCAAACTGAATTTCAAAGTTAAATCCATTCAGGCAAACAAAACATTTTGTTTTTATATTCACACTGAAAACTCACAATATGAAATCCTCCTTACAGGTCCTCCTAAAATATGTAAGAACCATTCACTGAATAATAAAGACATAATTTAACATAGATTTGTACTAACCACAACCTAACACTCACCCTGACCAGATTTCACAAGACTTGGATCAATCCTGTCTAACTTTATTGCCACAGCAAATCCATAAACATTTTGCTTTATGAACATATTTTTTAAAATATGTATAATAAAAGGCTGCAATACAAATTATTCTAGGAAGTCAGCAAAATAAAAGTGTAATGCAGGTTATATATATTATTTACTTCAATGGTCAATAATGTCAAAGGTAATTTGTTTTAGAAGTATTACTGAAGACATTATACACTGCTCTGTATTTTACTATGACAGGAGAAATAAATAAATAACATGAGTACCCCTGCACATACAATCAAAATCTTATAGGACCAGGTTACTTGTGTTCAGTGTAAACATAGTATCTTGAATATGGACAACCACAGGATAACAGAGAAACTAGGCTGCCTCATCGATCTACTCATTGACTGACTACACTGTCAGTGATGTGGCAAAGAGCAAATCATACAACAAAAAGATCAGTCTCCCCAAGAGTGTGAGTGGATGTGTGGCTTAGGTCACCAAAGTGGAAACTTAGATAAAGCAGTGTCTTACCTTCCCATCTTGGATCTTTGTCCCGAGGGTGGATAGTGTAGTGTGTTGTGATGCGGGATGTTGACACTGAAGAGCACGTTCTTCTGTGTAGTGCTGTGTACAGCTGAGGGGTAATATGTTCTGCCTGTACTATTTTCAATGCCCTGATACACCTGCGGGCTGCGAGAGAAAGAGAGAGAGAGAGAATAAGCCCCAGTCAAGCGCTATTCAAACTGGTGTGCTCATTCGTTTATTTGAACATGATGTGGTTTCCAAATGAGTACAAGTTTAAACGAGTCTAAAAATACACCAAACACATGAGAGAGATAAACAAAAGCTGTCACAGTGCCAAGTGGAAGGGTAGCACCATGCGAACAAGTTAGGACTAATGTGCGACTACTCCTTAGCCAAATTCAAAGCCAATTTCTGCCAATAGACATCCTTCTTAGATCGCAAATTGTTTTGCTAATTTGCAAAGCAGAGACAGATTACTAACAAAATCAGTACATTTCTTAGAAAGCGTAAACTGGACACAAAACCCTGGACAAGGACACTGCCCGTGAGCTACACAGTGGTTCAACTTTAACCTACATTTTAGCCTGATGCTAACCTAAGTGAGCATGTGTGACTGTTTTGGCTAATACTAACGCTAGCATTTGTAAAAAGCCGAGAAGTAAATACAGGCACGAGCAAAAATTGACCCTGCTAAAGTAAGCATTCAAGCCGTGAAAATACAGCAAAAAACAATGTCGATAAAGATAAACTAGCAGAAAACTCATATTAATGTTAGCTAGCTAGCTTGCTAGATATCAGCTGATATACCTTGACAAGAATATCTGCTGGCCGGAAACATGCTGTTTCAGCTAGTATAAACTCATTAACAGACAGTATTTCTTCTTTTTGAATCAGCCAAAGTAAAGCTGCCAGTAGAGCAGCTCTCAGCTCTCCAAACAAACGTTGAGCAGAGATTCTTTATAAAAATAACCACGTCTCATAACAGCGACTTGATGACATCATAAAGCTGCGCCGGCGTTCTGCGTAAGTGCAGATCTCTCTGCTTCATTCTGTGTCATGGCTGTAGTAAATCCAGGATCATAACGTTTAGGAATCAGACATTGCATTAAAGGCATCACCCCAGGCCACTGTACATCTGTAGTTAAAGGGACCGTGGAAATTGCGTTGTCCAGAGGTTAAAATCTGGGCTTTTAACCAAATATACATAAACGAAGACCTACAAACAAATCTCCAAATTCCTTCGCTGTCCCACCCACTTACAAAAAAGATAAAGATAAAATCATTAAAAATATTTCTAGAATTTCTTAGACTAACGACTTAATGATGATATGTTACATCAAAAGTGAAACTGTCCCCATAGTTAAAATAAGGCAGATAAATATTTAGAAACTGGGGGACTTGGAGTAATATGTGGGACACTGCAAAAAGAGGATTTTTCACACAAAAGAAGCAACAGTAATTGTGACAACAGATGTCACATGCTAAAGAAATTGAGTCTAAGTGAAATCACTACTGTGAAGTTATGGCAGCAAAATGTATGTACTGTGTATGAAAGATGTCTGGATTATTAAACATTGCATCACAAATGCACATGACCTAACAATCTCACAGCTGAATGAATAAAAGTACTGCCAAAAAGTGTATGCACTTGGAATAATTACAAAAGAATCGTATCATGTACTGTAAACATGTTTAATAGTGAAACAGCAAACAATCTTGGTTGGTTAAATTTCAAACTTACTAACAGATTTTCTTATTTCTAGAGACTTTTAAAATTGAGCTGATTAGTAGGAACGCTATCAAAATAGAGAGGGTTGCATCAGGAAGTGCATCCGGCGTAAAACCATGCTAAATTTCGAACCATGTGAAGTGTCAGTGTGGAAAGAGATGATTTGCTGTGGCCACCCCTAACAGGACCAGCCGAAAGTGTGGAGAAGTAGGAATGCTATCAATAATTTAATGAGAATATCATTTTAGAAATAGCAGGGTGGTCATAAAGACACAGTCAAATGGTGTAGCTGTAGTGCTTTTCTCACATCCTTAATAGCGATTATCAACTTCTGCCCTCCAGTAGGTGATTTAGAGTTCCTTATTTTAAAAAGAACTGGCTGAAACAGTCTTTTGTTCATCAGTCCATATTGTTGTTAAATCAAAATCAAGGTGTGGCTATGTTGGCTAGATCTGTAGGCAATTACTAATTATGTAATTGGGGTGATAGAAGTGGTTTATTGTTATTGTTTGATAATTTGTTGTTGTGACTCTGTTATTGTTTGGTTTTCCATTGACACTGCCTTGTGTCACAAGACAAATTTCAGATTTTATCTGATAAAGTGTTATCATATTGTATTGTATCGTCTATTCAAACACATTTTACTTGCCAGTGTGGTAGTAGATTAACACTGAACTCAGAAGCTGTACAGTGCTCTCTGGTATCATGTTCTAGCTTTCAGAGAGAATGAAAAAAGATAACTTTTGTGACATATTAAACTGACAAGTAAAAACTAGAAGAACAAAAACAAAACCATTAGTGAGATAGGACCTCTGTTCTGTATTAACCCAGCATGTAGTCTTCATTAGAGGGACTCTACTGCTGCACTGACTTCATCCTTCTGCTGTGACAGCTGCTGCTTGGCCAAGACACACACATGGTGGGATTTCCAAAAACACTAATGAATACTAATGATTTTCAACCACAAGGAGAAATCTGAGCACAAATTATGAACTGTCCCTTTTAAATAAAGGTTTTAAATAAAAAAAAGCGAATGAACCTGAATCACATTTAATCAGCTGAGGTGTAATTTCGATGACATTACGAACAGATCCATGTATCTAGATGAGTTCATTTCCTTGCGTGTATGTGAACATTTGTTTCTGTGAATGCAGTGACAAGATTGTCTGTTGCTTCTGTTGTTGCTGCGTGCACTCGATAATGTCAATGTATCCCTCGTTGGTATTTTCCACAGGGGTGAGCTTGGCTAGCATGCCTGTCACTTCCAGAGGGTGCCCTGGGGCAAGGCTGTGGCTGTTCTCCTGCAGGGGCCACATTTCCTGCCAGGTGAGCGACAACGGATGATGAGCTGGCTGACTGCTGAGCAATGGTCTCCTCTGCCTGTAGTTGGCCCATACCTGCAGAATGGTCTCTTTAAAAGGCCGTGTAGTCAGCGTGTAAAGGATGGGGTTAAGTGCACTGTTGATGGGGAGAATAAATATAACCACCCAAGAGCAGATGGTACCTGCCAGCAAAGAGGGAACATGAGCATTGAGAACAGTTCAACATAAAAGCTTTTTATCAGTATTACTTATGTAATAAATCCTCTATATTCCTACAGGGGACCTACTGTAATGAGGGATTAAGAATGTAATGGGTTGTGCACAACAATAAATGGTCATGTGAGTATACAGTGCAAAGTTCAGTAAGGTGGCTACAGTAAATGCTCTTTATACAGTAATAGGTATCTTCTGGAAAGCTCTTTCACACTTTACAGAATTTAGACAACTTTGTGATAAACTAACACAACAAATGAAATACTTATGGAATACTCCAAAGAAAACCTTGCTCTTAAGTACCTTTGCCCTTTTAGTGCTGAAAGGTGGTTCCAAAAAGTTTGCAAGGACAGTACCAGTGGTTAGCTTGGATCCATAGCAAATACAGTGGGTTCCAAAGATGGCTCAAAGTCATAGCAAAATGTGTCAAACCTACCAACCATCCTTACAAACATATTGTCCACATTTTTGCCTATCTTCCAAGCAATCATAGTTTATTTCATACGTGTTCTTTTTCACTGCCATGCTAGCCATGATTTTGTGAACCTAAGCTCATCAGACAGGTCAATTTAGAGCTGAAGAGCATGAGACAGCATGCTGATCGATTTCTGCTTTAAACTTCCAAGGCACTTCTGCATCTTTTCAGTCAAATGCTGTGAACCCAAGCCAACTACAGCTGGTGTCCTCTGTGAAGGAACAGACTAGAGCCACATGGCAAACCCGCTAAAGGGGTTTATTTGATTCTTGAAATGCAGACTTTCCATGCAGTATTCCTATAAATTATTATAGCACTTCTACTATACCGGGGATCTCCACCTGCAGCAGTGAGAGGATCTTCAGAATGAAAATGGGGATCCAGCAAAGGGAGTCAGTAATGACGATAGAGAAGAACCTTTTGGCGATGGTCACCTCCTTCTTGATGTGGTTGCTGTACTTTGTGGTCTGAGTGCCTGTTCTCTGGATGTTATAGAACATGCTTGCATAGGATAGGACAATGATGAGGAATGCCACCAGGTTCAGACCTACAGACAGATATCTGGTTAGCTTCTGGGTTGCCATACAACTACAGTAGCATATATTTGCACTGTGCATTAATAAAAATAATAAAGCAAACAAACAAAAAACCCCAAAACAGAACAAAAATCCCAACAAAAAACAAATACACTCAATAAATATGTGACTGTGAGACTGTGAATTTATAATTTGTGTTAAAGAACAGCTTAATAAAAGTAAATACAACAAAAAAGCTCAGATTATTATACAAAGTACCAATCCCTACCCAGGAAAATGATGATCGAGTAAACATGAGCCCATAGCGTCTCAGGCTGTTCCGAGTGCAATGGGAAGCAAACACCATTGGTACCATAGAAGTTGCGAAACAGCCCTTTGCAAGTCAGAGGCAGGAAGGCAATAATAAAGCCGAACACCCAAATGCCGAGAAGGATGGTGACAGTTCGTCGCCAGCCAGGTGTCAAGTACTGAAAAGGGTAGACGATGCAGATGTATTTCTCCAGAGTGAGATAAGTGAGGAGCAGGACGGATACCTCAGTGGACAGCATGGCCAAAGAGCCAATGACCTGACACTGACTGCTGTCCATCCAGGCCTGAGCGTGCCGGTTGTACTCACCTCGAAACTTCAGGTCATACGCACCAATCATGAAGAGGTAGATGCCCATCAGCCCATCTGCACCTGTAAGAAAGGTGTGATATATTTTACAGCTTTTTAGAAGATCATTCACATTATATACCTTACTTGTTTAATCAGTACAGAAGTCAAAGTGTAAAATGATGAGTTCCTGTTTTAGCTGGGGAGATGTGCCAGCACTGACTTCCTCGAGTCTGCTAGTTAAATTTGCTTTATGCATAATAGACAGTTGTGAGAGTGGTATTGATATTCTTGTCTAACTTGGCATATCAAATAAACAACTTCATTAAAATGTTGAACTGTCCTTTAAAATTGCATGATTATATTCTGGTGTGAATAAATATCTTTAAGTATGATCACACACTCAGTAACATTGTCGCAATGTTGTAAATGGGGGGTTGTCAACATCTATATATGGATAATTATAGAAAATTGTGGATGATGTATTTATACACAATTGCATGATTGTGAGAAAGAACAATAGGGGTTCATACTGTACATTTACTGGAAAGACTGTATATACATGTTTCTGCAGTCATACTGTTGTATTTAAATCTATAGAACCCCAGCACAGAACACAAATCCCAAACAAACAAACAAAAAATGAATCCCAACCTCACATTATTTTCTTTTACACCTACTCTTTCTGCCTTCAGTGAATTCATCACAGTGTTCTGCTGACTCTTGTGAAAGCAGAAAATCAATGCACAACTTACATCCTCTGAAGAATTTCACCACTGTTTCACATCTTAATGTTTAGTTCTTTGATAATATAGTAAATTCACTACACAAAGACAGACTTTCATATGGAAACATGCCAATAATCATCAGAAAGCATGTTTCATTTTACACAATGTGCGCATGATCATTAAAGACTCCCTGTATGACATTTTGTTGTAGAGAACCTGGATGGACTTTTACTGTTGACACGTACCTCTAAGTGCCATTCAATGTATTTAGCATGTTTAGCAGTTTTTCTTTGATATACATGAAATGATAATGTATACTTAAATGTGAAATTCCCATGAGTACATCAAAGTGTAGAGGATTAAAGCTGGTCTGGCTGAATCAACTATACATACAGTAGGTCAGAGAGAATACAGACAGGAAAGAAAAGGTTTGATACAGAAAGAAAAAGAATAAGGGTGATAAATCAAGGGACAAAATCAGAGACTCAAACTCTATCTTCATATCTCTACCTTGTTTATGACTCTTTCTTCTTTCCAGGCTCAAATCTGTTCAACCCCTGTAATAACAGGATTAAAGCAACATGCATTCGTGTCCCACTTGCATGAAAAGAGATGATAATCCATTGTTGTTATAAAGAAGAACGATTTAAATCTGAACTCTCACTTGTGTTAATTACCTTAAGCTTTTTTATCTGGGCTAAGCCACCAGAATTAGGTGTGTGACAGAAAGCTGTCCCCACTGGCATTCTAGTAATAAACATTAAAGACTGACATATTAAGCAAGTGAGGCCTTGATTCTAGCCCTTAATACAGGATCCTTTATATCTGACTTGAATGTGAAATGTGACCACAAGCATACAGTGGTGTGTTATTGAAAACTTTTATTTCCTAAATGTTTTATTTTATCTTGGAAATAATAACCATAAAGGCAATGTACATGGCGCTGATTTATTCTGACCTCCTACACAAGGGAGTTCCTTTAAAAATCGATGTTTTTGCTTTATATACAGCAGCATACTGTCTTGAAATAATTTCCCCCCTCTGCACAGAAAAGCACTTGCAGCTACTTTCAAGTCTAAATGGAAAACTCTGTTTTCCTGTGCCTTTGACTGATTGGCTCCTCTACTGTACCTTCATTTCTTCTGTTGCACTTGTGGCAACTTATGCTCATTACTGCATTGTAATTGTGCCGGAACTGTATTTCTGGTTTACTATTATCTTTGTCTATTTATATTTTATTTTTACTTTATGTATTTTATGTCCTTTTATTTTGTTCCTATTGATTTTATTCTGCATTTTATTATATTCTGCTTATTGTTTTTGATATTGTTCTAATGCTTTTCTTTGTTTTTCTTTGCGTCTATTTGAAATGTGCCATTTAAATAAATCCACTTTGTCTTGACTTCTGTTGTATGGCATAATTCCTGAGACAGCAGGTCTATAAACATAATGAAGTGATTAATATAAGTGTGGGTAAACTATGAACTATATAAGCAAGCAGCCACTAATTTATCACACTTTTTAAATATGTGTTGCTGGGCAGTAAATACCATACCCTCTATACCTGTATGACTACAGAAATTAGATAATACATGAATATACTGTACTATGATGGTGAAGGACATTCTGTGATGAACTAGTTAGTGACATTATGCGTGCCTCCCTTTAACTACATCCCACTTTAAATTGCAGTGTGACTTACAGCAGAGTGAGATGATGCACATGGCGTGGAGTTTGTTCTCAGAGCGGATGTACGAGCGCATGCAGATGACGAAGATGTTGCCGAAGCAGGTGGTGGCAGACACCACCCAGACAAAGACCCTTAGCACAATGTTAGCCAGCAGGTCCTCAAAGGATGAGATGCCGTCAGTGTTGGGCTTGCAGCTGCGCACGTGAGGAGCATAGCCGCAGTACTGGAACTTCTTGAAGTAGCTGTCATAACAGATTAGGCAGAGTATGAAGTCAAACAAAAAAGAATGTAGTCGATTTACGTACAGTTATGAGAACTGCTGTTTACAGCCAAGTGAGTTCTTGCACTGCAAAGCATGGATGGTGAAAGAATAAAGCCACAAAAGAAATGTTCTGATGATTCTGACAGCGGATTTGATTTTGATTTTAACTAAGGGCAGTATCAAGTCATGGGGCTTTAAAGGTGGTGAACTTAATAACAAAAGTCTTATTTGGTTAGAAATAGGTGCTTTTCAAAATCTTTGAGTTGTCTGAAGAGTTGCTATAACAAAGGTTTAACAGTGATCCTTCATCTAGAGATAAAATTAAAGGGGTAGTTCATCCAAATCACAACAAAACCCATATTTTCTCACTCATCTCTATGTAGCCACACTGAGAGTTTAGGTTTTATTTGTCCATTCCTTTCAGATATCAAAGATTTTGCCTCCACTGGACTACCATAGTGGACTGGCTGACTGATATTAGCATCCCATGTTGATTTACCCCTAGAGTAAATTAATTAGTGTAAATTTGACTTAACCATGGAAGAGAAGCCTGCCGGTCTCCATAAGGCTAGCTGGGAGCTCACCATTAGAAACACGTGACAGTCCAGACTAAACGATAAAGATTAACAGTATAAACATAAAGGGAGTACTTACATATGAGTCAAGTGTTTGAGAGATTCAAACATCTTCTGTTGTATGTTTCCAATTTCTATTCCCTCTATGCTCCTAGAAAGTATAAAGACATTGAGTTTATCTTAAAGGCTGCATACACATTATAGCATATTGATTTATAAATGCTAATCCTTCAGAGTAATTAAAAGCACAAAAACAGTTTTCAACAAACACCAAATAGCCCTTCAAGGACTTAATGAGACATTTTTACAAGACCAAATAAATCTTATTTCAGTAGTTGATTCAGATTTTAACTTTTGTGTGAACTAATGCATGTCTCAAAAGAAAGACCACATAACCACATAATACACAAATAATACAGGAAACCATCATTCAGCAAATTCTGACCCGCACAGTGTTGAAAGAATAATGATGTCAGTCTTTTTGTCCATTATGTTCATTATCAAGTTAATCACTATGCTTTTATATTAGCTGTTCTTTCTCACTTTTAAATATAACAGGAGAGTTATTCAAGTACCTCTTAACACAAACCTACTACTGTAGGTTTTCTAAGTACATTAGGGAGGATTTTATTGTAAATGTGTTTAACTATAGCTGCAGGAGTCATTCAATATGTAGCAAAGTAGACTTACAATGACTTCAGCTTGTGCAACCTGTCAAAGTGGTCAACTTGGAGCTCCACAATGGGATTGTATGATATATTCCTAGAAAACAGACAGGAAACCAATCATATAATATGAAATTTAATTTAACTCAGTATATTATACAATGCCTTCTGCTATATGCATAACAGGTATTTCTCTTTATGCAATATCTTGTTATCCACCTGACACAATATTTGCTGAAAAAGATTTAGTGCATTGACTGCCTACTAATTAAAGTTATAGTGATGAAGATTTTCATGAAATCACATCCCATATTTGATACTATTTATGATCAACACATTTTCTACAGTAGCCATTTAGTGTATTTATAGTAAGTAGTTATAGGAGTTTTCCATTTTAGGAACCTGCTGAAACATGTTTTGCGTCAGTTTCTGCTACACTCAGCCCAATTTGGAGGTGTGTTTTGGGAGCTGACTATGTGTGTGAGAGCGGAGCAGCCCCTCCCTCCTCTAAATGAAAACCAACAGAGAGAAAATGTAGTGGAAAAACAAAGCAGGACGTCCACATCAACCCCAGAGACTATAGCTGGTGATGGTTAAGGGAAGTACGCGGTATACCACTCGTTTGGGAGCCGATAGTGGAAACACAGCATATCCCTCTAAACAGGAACCTGCTATTCTTGTGCTGGTCTCAGCACAAGAATTATGTAATCCAGTGGAACTGACTGTTACACTGTGTCAGAGCTTAAGTTACTGCCAAAGTAAACAGAACCTCCTGCCATTCACACTAAAGCTCCTAAATGGAAAGACACTGTGGCTTTTATTGTGAAACAGTGAGTGTGATGCCTATGATCTGTTAGACATGCACTATTAAATATTCATGGATGAGGTATGCTTAAATACAGAGCTGTATATCACAGTGGGTTTGTGAAAAACAGAACTCACAGTTGGAGTAAATCCGCAAGTAAGACAAAGAGATTGGGAGGGATCGACATCAGTCTGTTGTTGGATAGATCCCTGCTCGTTGAGACAAATCCACATTCCCGAAAAACAAAACAACAAACAAACATTGAGGTACAATATTCAGCATTTGACTGTTATAGAGCTTTAAAAAACACCCTCTGTAATCCTTGCAATGTGCTGCCTAATAGGGACACTAAAAAACAGCCTTGCAGTAACTTTAACATCTGTAAGTTAATTCACTTTGCACCCATTATTGTTACTGGTCCCAAAAGGCTGTGAACTCGATGTATTCAGCTGTGGTTATGAAGCTAGTGTGAAAATTCAATCAGAAAGACATTCTCTCTCTCCACCTCCAACTCTATCTGCCGACTGTGGACATGGATAGATCACGGAACAGTGGGCCCCTAGGCACAGACATGTAAAAAGCCCCCACCTGTGTCACTTTGTAGTTGTTTTGCAACTACCTGTAGGCATTTTATGTACTTCTGCTCATTGCTCATTTTGCAACCATTCTACTTAGTTTCTTTTTTTGGGGAGGGGGGGGGGTCATTATTTTGCATTTCTTTGTAGTTTTTTGTGCCTCTAGTAGTATTGCCCATATTTTTCTTGTTTTGTGGCTTTCAATTTGGATGGCTTTCCAATGGAAAGGTTAACAGTCCCTTCACAATTCCCTGGTCTAGGGGCTCCTAGGCCCGTTCAGAAATCCATTCATGACTGTGGCTGTCTCAGTCGATTAACCAATCAGTTTCTTCCACCGCCTCAGTGAACCAGTCTTCTCATAGCTGTTAAAACTTTAAATCCATTCCTCTCTCTGCTGTCAGCTGTCATCTCAGCGTAAGCTTTTACTGTCCTCCACCTCCCCGTTCAACTGTAAATTGGTGTTCCACAGGTCCACCATCAGGATCACCAGATTCCTGCTCCAGCCTTTTCTTGGGCAGCACCTCTTGTCTCCATCATGGGTCCTCTGTCATCCATCAGACTCCTGTCCTCATCCAGGCATCCTTCTCATTGATCCTTCATGAGACTCTTACCCTTTCTCATCTTTCTATCCTTATCATCACCTATCTCTTCTCTCCACCACCACCAGCGTCTGGAGAACATTTCCTGTTCCCTTCATGGCTTGTAATCTTATTTTATAAGTTTCATGCATGACAGAGTCTAAGCACCAAATCCTTTCTTTCTGCCATACTCACTAGGACAATGAACCATGTAAGCACTTCTGAACTGCTTGTTCTCTGTCTCTCCTGATTGAAATATAGTATGTGTAAAAAAGACTGCTATGGTGGGCATGAGCATAGCTGCAGGAAAGTTAGTTTCACAGTCAATTAAAGAGTAAAAAATTGCTCCCGGTGGCTTGACTAGTGCCGTTGTGTGGCAGCCTTGTCGTCATCGGTGTGTGAATGTGTGTGTGAATGGGTGAATAGTGTATAATCTCCCTGTAAAGCACTTTGGCCAGTGCATAAAAGTGCTATATAAATACAGTCCACTTACCATTTACCATAAAAGTCTCATGAAACATGCAGTGTACAGTTCATCACTTCTGACCTAAGTAGGACGAGGATCACTGAACCTGTGATGATGCCCTGGATCACCCTCGGTGTTATTGTCAATAATAAAAATATAGAATATCAACAGTTTTGTCCTTTAACAATACTACACATCTCTCTTAGTAAGAAAAACATTGAATTACTCTATATGACATTATTGGGATCCTTTGTAAAATTACACCCACATCTGTTTCTCATTTCATAAGAGAAACAGCAACAATTACACTTTCAGTAATGTTTGCATTCACAGTCTAGACAAAGTGAGCCACTGAGATATTGACTGATTCCATTCATTCATCCATCCATCCATTTTCCTCCGCTTATCTGGGACCGGGTGGCGGGGGCAGCAGTCTAAGCAAAGATGCCCAGACTTCCCTCTCTCCAGACACTTCCTCCAGCTCCTCCGGGGGAATGCCGCGGCGTTCCCAGGCCAGCCGAGAGACATAGTCCCTCCAGCGTGTCTTGGGTCTTCCCTGGGGCCTCCTCCCGGTGGGACATGCCCGGAACACCTCCCTAGGAAGGCGCCCAGGAGGCATCCGAAACAGATGCCCGAGCCACCTCAGCTGGCTCCTCTCGATGTGGAGGAGCAGCGGTTCTACTCTGAGCTCCTCCCGGGTGACCGAACTCCTCACCCTATCTCTAGTGGTAGTAGTAATTTAAGGTAATTGTGTTTTGTTTGTCAAAGATCCACTGAGGCAAAAAAAAAAAGTTAAATCAATAAAGAAAACTAGCTTAGAAGAAAACTTATTGAGACTCTTGAGACTTTTATTTGCTACAAAAGTGTTTGCTAAGGGTGGAAAATTCTGCTAGCCAACTGTGAGGCACATAAGATGAAAGAAAGACAGACTGGGTTCTCTGCAAAGAACACAGCTTGTGCACATTGTGCAATACTCAAAAGAATGCAAGATCAAAGATCAAAAGTAAGGTTTTGCAGGCATGTTAATAACCTCTGGATTTGGTTTGGTAATAAAGTGCTAAAGAGGAATGTGTCCATTAAACTCTGCCACAAAGAAGCACTGATCTCCAACAGTAACACTGATGTTGGCTCTTACAAGACAGCTGAATGTTCTGAATGCTATGGCAAAAACGTGAAAAACATGACAAAGAAGAAAAATGTGTGTCACAGTTTATAGAGTAGCTTAATTACGTTCAGGTTTAGTAGCTGTCAATTATTTGGGTTCTTTGTCTTTTTTCTCCTTTGTTCCATAAAGTACCTGCCAGCAATCATATGAGCTTGAGCAACCAAACTCAGCAGACAGGGTCGAAGTATCACTGAATGCTCATGCATTAAAAAAAGTTCCACAGCTGGTGCACATGTGCAGATTGTGGTAAAAGCACCGTAATAACGTTTGGACATTTTTAAATGAACAAAAGATCAGGAGGTCATCAAAACCATTATCAATCATCTTCTGAGAACCACTGATTGCCCTGTAGACATACAGTGCGTATGTTGCTGTGTAAAAAATGTTTAGAGAGAACACACCAATCAATTCCAACACCAACAAACCAACAGAACCAAATGGCTCTGGCTCAAGGGAACAACAAACCTCTTCATTAACTAATTGACACGTTCATGGCATCATTAGACAGATGTCCTTAAATGATATCAACTACTGTACTGTAGCTTAGAAGTTTTTGTTCCTTAGATACTAAGTTACTGAAGGTTCATGTAGTTTGCAAGTATCAACTGTGACAGTTATAATGATTCCTATATTATAAGATTTTAGCATAAATTAAAGCAGAAATCAAGTTATTCCACAGGGTTTGCAAACTTTACTGTGATTTTCCATACTGTTTCTCATTTCTCTTTCTTCTAAAGTCATTGTGCATAACATATCCAAAATGACCCATATCTGAAATTGCATTGCTTCAGTTTCTTTTTGTCCCAATTCTGAAAACTGTGCTATTTTTTCCTCATACAATTTAAATGAAAAATCAAAAACATTAACTTACAATTCTCCAAGCTTTCGAAGGACCGAGAAAGCCTGTTCATGTATGTGACTGATCAAGTTTCGCTGTAAAACCCTGATGAAAGGCCATAAATACAAAAATGAATCATTATACTAGTAGTTGTACTTCGTAATCCCATTTCATGAACTACAAATATCAATTCTGCACATAAGTTGCAAATCAAAATTTGAGAAACTGAGTGATTCCCAAGCTTCGCACTGAAATTCAGGCAAGAGAAAAACTTTAAAAAGCAGAAACGCTGCCTTTACCATGGATAAAATTATGTTCCTTGATACTTACAGAACTGTCAGCATATGGCATGAGCAGAATGAGGTGTTTCCAATGGCTTCTAGCAGATTTCCCTCCAAATCTCTGCAAGAACATGTTTTGAAATATACATTCACAGCAGAAATGTACAGACACATGCACACAGACAAAATGAATTTATCTAAAGATGTGTCACTTTTATGACAAGACAGCTTTTGATTTTTGACATCCTACTTACAGCCAGTTCAATCTTGGCAGTTCTTGACAGATGTCATCCAGCTTTGTCAAAGAGTTATTCAACAAAACCCTGTCAATCAGTAAGATGTAGCAAGGTGTAACATTTTCTCCTTCAGTTTTCAAAGAAAGAACACTCATTCAAGTCTTATCTCATCAGCAGAGGCTCTCAGTAGCAGGACTTTGAGAGTAGTCTGAAACATCTGGCACAATATAAACTGTTGCCACAGTGCATAGATGATGAGAAAATGAACTGGAAAGCAGTACATTGCACAACTTTATTATAAGATTGATGTGTTTTGGTTTGTGCCCTTTGTAAGAGTCTTATAAAATCACAAAATAAAGTTCAACATACTGCAAGTGTTGCTGGAGTTTGGATCTTTACTGTAGCATAGAATAGAAATCAAAACTCACAGTAAAACAAGGGAGTTCAGTCCTGAAAAGGTCATGGAGGATATTTGATGGATATTGTTATTATCTAGAATCCTATAAAAAACAAACAACAGTGTATAGTGTCAGCCTCATTTGCAGAATATTGACCCCATTCACAGAGATATTTGTGATGTACTACCTGTATGCAAGAAAATGTAGGAATTATTTATCACATAAATAGAATTCTGTGCCTTTGGCAAACCAATATTTACAAAAAGTAAAATATTCTTATATATTATGCATACGATATTTTATGTTGTTTTAGTGCAAACATTTTTTTTCAGTAGAAAATAAACATACAACCACTCCAGCTTGTGCAGGTCCTGGAACACCCCCGGCATCAGGATAGATATTTTATTGTAGCTCAGATATCTGAAAGCAAAAAGGTTTGGAGGGTTATCTGAAAATGATAATCTCTAAACCTGTTAAATAAACTAATGGTAAACTGTGTTACATGTTGCATTTAGCACACAGTGAACATATATGGACTTAATCATGCAGTTTGTGATTCATTCTCATCTGCCAACATCTTATAATGTAATAATATTATAATTCAGAGGGAAGCTTGGAGCAAATGTTGTGTTCAAGCCTTTTTGGCTCATTTGAAAACTAGATTTACTCAAAAAGCAGTCTTTGTGGAACCTCCATCTGGTATTGGCATTTACATAGTAGTCATCAGCCTTCCTCCCTAGGTGGCCGCTGATTTTCTTTTTCCCCCCACTGTGATGCTGCATATATAGCATTTCAGTTTGACTTAAGCCAATTCAATTATATGGTCATAAAAAGGCTCAGCTCTTTGAGTCTGAGGAAAAATGTGCCTTCTACTAAGAGAGCTAATCCTCCTTAATAATCACATAAATATTAGTTAATTAAATGAACATAACCAAAAACTATAGTAAATAAAGAGAAGGTTCAATGTATCAGCAGAATAACAGTGAGAAGAGTCAGGCTGTGTTGACCACGTTGCATGAATATGATCAGACATCATCAGAGTCAAGCAGAGACATGAATGAAACAGCAGATGCCAATCAGCTATGCATGCACAGTGTCGGTTTGTTATTTTATGTGCAACGGTACAGACCACACAGCTGTTTGTTTTATCACTGAATGGCATGTGTTACAGATTGGACAAACTTACAGTCTCGTTAGGTTATACAGCCCTCTGAATGCGTCAGAGCTCACATCTTGAATTCTGTTATGCTGGAGATATCTGTGTAAAAAAAGGTTTATGATGCACTGAATTACAATGAGACAATGAAGTATTTAATTTGGTTGTTTGAATGAGAAACAGAAACTGTGTTTACTTGAACAAAAATGTTTAAATTGTGGATGTTAGCCCAGCTGAGAGAAAAGAGTGTTTGATATCAAACAATCATGACCCGATTATTAGCTGACATTGTCTTTGATATCACATGCAACAAACCTCCACTTACAGCTGTGTTTTCTCTTTGTGCACTTTACACACCAGAGAGTGTTTAAGATGTTTAAGCATTTCTCAGGAACATTTTCACTCCAGTCAAAATCTGTGGCTAAACGCTGACAGTATAATACAGGCAAATGCGTCCTGTCAGAGGTTCAAACCTATTCTGCTGCCACACCATCCAGAGGCACCGAGTGAGGCTGATAAACACTGTAAATCTGGAACAAATGACTACACAACAGAACAATCCCCTCTGTCAGCACTCCCAGCGGTTCTTACGCCAGCTTTGTAGTGTATTCATCACTGAGTATGGTCATGATCTCAGCTCTTCAGTATGTTGAAGACTTTACTGAATGAATAGTGTAGGTTCTCATGCTTGCTAATAATACTCATGTATTTTACAGTGTTTGGACTGAATAAAGGAGAGATCAATAAGAAACAACGGTGAAAAAAAGAGAGTAATGCAAATATCATAATGTGAAAATAAATCAAATGAATATGAATATTATATAGTCCAGAACTCACAGTTTCTGGAGGCTTTTGTACTTAACGAATGTGTTTGCCCTCAGTTTCTGAAGCCGGTTCCTTTGTAGAGACCTGAGGGTTGGGAAGAGGCTCACAGTCACAATACAGAAGGAGGCTTTCACCATAATTTAGTGATGCACCATCTGACTGCTTTATTGTCAAAGTTATTTTGTTTACGTGTAGATATACATTGTGTTAACATTTCTTATTAATTCCCCGATCTCATTTTGTATTGTTTATCTGTAGTTTTCCACAGTACATTTCCATAAGACCTCCAGCAAAAGACACACACTAATTAGTGCTAAATAATCCTCGTTAGTTTTTATGCAAGGCTTTAATGCAAAAATTCTTTCAATTACATACTGTATGTCTTCTGATAAATAAGTAAATTAATTAAATAAATAAGCTTTCTAACTTTATTTAACCACCTCGAAGTGTCTGATAATTAAGGCGCTGATTCAGCTGAGGTTTCCTAAGCTTTTAATGGCCTAAAGGCTAATTAAAAGCTCATTCACTCAAACACTGTTGTGCCAAGCTCTTTGAAGAGGGACGATGTAAGATTTTTTATTGACACTGTCTCTCCAGTCTCGCTGTTCTCTAACGCTACTTTCTAATCACACTGTATTTCTTGGCTGACTAACAGTTGACTGGTGGACAAGCTGGTGGACCTGGGAATTCCATATTCCATATGGATTAAGGACTTCCTGTCCAGACGCAGCTGGTGAAAGTGGCACACACATCCACGGCTCTTAGCCTCAGCACTGTTTCCCCACAACACTGTGTGCTGAGCTCTACACCCTGTACACCCACGACTGCACCCCCACCCACCACGGCAGCACCATTGTAAAATTTGCTGATGACATCATGGTGGTGGGGCTTATCTCTGGGGGGATGAGACTACCTACAGGGATGAGGTGGAGAGGCTGATAGTGTGGTGCAGAGAGAACAATCTGCTCCTTAATATCTCAAAGACTAAGGAGGTCATTGTTGACTTCATTGTTTATTTTGTTTTTCTAGCGGTTAAGTTTTTTATATGGTCTTATTTCATATGTTATGGTTTTTTTATTGCTGTACCAACTGGAGGTCACTCTAAATTTCGTTGTACATGTTACAATGACAATAAAAGATTATCTTATCTTATGTTGAATTTTGACAAAACATTCCCCAAATATAACAAATCAAAGGTGTGATGCTGGCTCTTATAAGACTTTCAAGGACAGTTTTCATCAGTTTAATGAGTAGTGAAGACACTGTATTACACCCAACAGAGATTCATCTGCAATAGTGGCTGCAAAGTATGTTATTCATGAATCTTGTGGCAATGGTTAAGTACTCACAGTGGCAGGGGAGGCTTTCTAATATTGCTACTCACATCATGGTGACATTCATGGCCACCACCGGGACATCTTGAAGCTGTGCGCTGTCACAATCCAGCTCCAGGTCTCGGCACTGGCATTGCTCAGGAACTGCACCCAGCACTGCAAAGATGGAAGGGAAAGGGAAGCAACATCAGAGGACACATTAATCAAAGGCTCATCCTGCCAAATGCCAATGTCAGGACTGGAGCTGTTTGGATGAATGGAAGCTTAGTC